GGCACAACCCTAAAATTTCAGCTTCCTATACTCCGTGGTTCCCGAGATAATAATTTACCCGTCAGAAATATTTACGGGGCCTTGCATGTTACTCGCGGACAGGAGAAAGCTGAATTTAGATTTTCTGGGTAGCACACGGGAAGGAGACATGCTCACAAAATTTCAGCCTTCTAGTTTCCTTGGCTTCAGAAATATTGATTTAACCCGAAAAACTTTTACGGGGCCGTACGTGTTACTCGCGGGTAGGCTGAATTTAAATTTGCCGCGTCACACCTTGGCGAGAAACACTATACTAAAATTTCAAGCTTTTGTGGTTCCCGAGTTAAAAGTGCGGGACAAAATGTGGGACAGACACACACGCACACAAACACATACAGACAACCCCATGACAATATGCGTCTTGTACTGCTGTTACACAGCACAAAATGCATAATAAAAAGTAAAACTGAAATTTATGCTCATTTAAGACTCTTCTCACTCAGTTAAAAATTAAAGCTTAATAAACCATAAGCAGTGAAGTGCAGCCATCCAAGCATCAGTAACTTCATCAAAAAAAAAAAAAAAATTGCAAAAATCACTGGGATTTAAATTATCAGCTGATGCATTACCCGAGGAACGCTTCGGGAGACATTGTTCCCGGCTTCATCGTTTTTATTGCAACCTCAACCATACCTCGCCATTTCCCATACCACACATCTCCAAAGTTGCCATCGCCTAACTTCCTTTTCAGCTGAAGCTGATTTCGGGGAATTTCCCAGTTCTGAAACGTAATACATGAACAGTGATAGACCGTGTCTGATTGATCGGCTAGATCGCAAACGATGATGCTGTCGTTCGAACTGGCATTGGGCAGTGGTGCAAAAAGTCTCAAACCCCGTGGTCATGGATCGGATGAAGCGTGAGGTGAAATGCGTTTTCAAGCTGTCCCATACAATTTTTTTACCCTTTTCCAACAATTTCAAATTTAATATAATAATAAGAAACCCTTCCTTTTCTTGTATTCTCTTTGTTTCTTTCTCTTTTCTCCGCCCTGAACACCATGACCGTCATACAGACGATGTACAGTCGTAGTGTTGAGCTAAGACCTTAATGGACCGAAATGTTTTAACTCACTATTTCCATATTCATTCATACTTAGTTCGTTCCATGCCTTCGCTCCCTAAGCTCTTGGCATCTACTTGTATGCTACAGTCAGCTTGAGAATAATATTTTCTGAAGTGACAAAGTGCTACCGCAGAGAGAGGGTCACGCAACAAGAAAGTAACACAACATTACAACATATATGAGTGACGCAACTGGCACAAAAACGGCAAATGACTATTCAGATAACCTGCTGTGTATCGTGCGAAAGATCGGGACGAGTTGGAGCAATACGCGGCGCCGGAAATGAA